GCAAGACAATTTAATGTACACTGAAGCCCAATCATTAAAACCCTTTTAGAAACAATTTTTAAAAATTAAGCGGGAGGGGGGGGGGCTTAATGGTGTATGGGTATCAGACCATATAGGAAAGCAGGTCGAAAAGTTACAACACGGACAACACAACACCATCAAGACCCAATTACACAAACAGGTCGGCGTCCCACCCAACCAAGTTTGACGGCACTGAAAAACAAAAAAATATAAAAGAAATCTTCCATATGGATGCCCAGGAAACATCTCTGGAAACATGGAAAGGCAATATTATTTTATTGAAGGGTTTTTTCTCTCGTGACGTTTGGAAAAAAGCAATATGTCGATAAAAAGTGATAAACCAGACTGACCTCCAACTATAAAAGAATCAAGCATTCATCAAATAGGGAAAATCACTTTTTCTTCCTAAGAACCATAAACAATTTTCCTCGCAATCTCAATCGACATCTAACTTAGGCATCAGAGAGAAATACCATGGTCCAACCCTGGTATGGCTTTCTAACCTATATTTTGTCTACCTTTTGGTGCGTGACTTCCTAAGTGCTCATTAGAAAAGGTCTCCAAAGACCGACTAGCAAGGTATCCGAGAAAGTACATAGCAAAAATAAGATATTTTCACAGAGACTATAGAACTGCCCATCTCTACTCATGTATGGAGTTATGAGATTTTTGCTTGGTCCATATATTTGCAAGGGTACAAAGATCATCTTTCTTTAGCCAATCTGTGAAAACCTTGACGTCTCAGGTTTAAAAAAAATCTTGAACATAGGTTTCACAAATCTGTGTTAATGATCTTTAGTCATTGTCACCATGGCTAGTGTAAAACACCAACAACTTATCACTTTATGAATTGACGGTGAATTGCAAAATTCAAGAATGAAACTACAAATTGGCGGAAGAAACGAACTATGTTTTGTAGTACGAACTGCACTTCGTATCTTTCTTTCGTTCATATCTCTATTGCATACTCATTTAAAACCCTTGAGGTTTCAGGTTAATTCCAACTTAAAACTTAGGTTTTATAAATTATGTGTTGATGATCTTGCCATTAACAACATGACTAATGTAAGGCACCATAATCCCTACCCATTTTCAAATCTCAATTCTCCAGCACTATCATACACTTGCACTTTAAACCCATAAGGTTTTTTGTGTAAACCAATCAGAAACCAAGGTTTTATAAAGTCTGAGTTAATGATTATATATCATTGTCACCATGGTATATATGTCAATACTTACTTGTTTCTATACATTTCTTCGTCATAATCACACACATAGACTTAAAATCCTTAAGGTATCAAGTAAAAACAAGTTGAACAAAGATTTTACAAATTCTATGTTTGTGAAATCCCCAATTTTATGGCCATTTTAATTTTTTTTATTAATTCTTATCTAATTTAGAGTTCATTCATAAATGCAGAATTGGTCCCGTAAAAGTATTTCCGAAGAAATGTCTTTTATTTATTATAAAAATCTTGGGATGTCATAACTAATACAAAACATAAGCATAAACTGACCTTACATTAATATTCTAGCAGCGTATGAGCTCCTTTAATTTCTCCACATATTAGGGATGAGCAGTTTGTCCCAAGTCCCGATCCCGTACCGGTACCGTACCGGAACCGGTACCGAACCGTACCGAATCTAAAAATACGGGACGGTACTTGGTACTCCAAATACATGAAATTCGGGAATCGGTACCCCCAGTACCGGTACAAGTACCTAAAACCGGTACCATTCCCGGTACCGGTACCGGTGATGCTAATTCGGTTCGGTACTTGGGATTGACTTTCGACCAAATTCGGTTTTCGGGAAATCGTGAACAGTACGGGTCGGTACCGGTTCCGTCCCACGCTCATCCCTACCACATATAATTATATTATCTGTCAGTACCTTCGTATCACTACCTGTGATACAAGAAACTGAGTGGTACAGGTTGGGAAACCTGTTGAGTACGTAGGGGTTTCAACCCATAATATTATAATATTTAATTATATATTCTTCAACATTCAAATAACCCAATTACCCCACTCCTGTTATTCCTACTTATTAATCCTAATATGATGATCTCAAGGGATCATTCTTAAAGGACCTTTATTAGCAGACAACTATAATTCCTAGATGATTAGACATGACAGTATGGTAATACTTTGGGTATACGCGGCAAAACGACAGTACACTAGTACTTTGGTTTAGCACAGCAGCACAAAAGAACTTGGGATAAGCACGACAATACAAAGTACTTGGGATAAGCGCGACTGTATAACATTACTTCGGATAGACATGGCAAACACGACTTATTATTCTGCACGACTTTCACTAACCTGTCACAACCACTACCTCACACATCCCTTATCACAACTTCTCATTTGTTATTTCGCACAATCCTTCACTGCCCAATCATATTGTCAAGTATGGTAAATATACGGTTAAATCAAGTAACAATTGTATTGTATCTATGTGTACGTTTGAAATTAACTATGCACTCACTTGATAACAGTAGATGATTCGAGGTTAGGGCAGTGCTTTGCCTTAACACTTTTCCGAAAGACCTAGATGTACATAATGTTGAGTCTTAGTCTAATTTCATGATCCTGGGGACTATAATAATTATAGTCTAGATTTTGCAATAATCCTAATGTCTACTGATCTATAGCTGATAAGGGACAACCAGATATGATCATTATTGGAGGTAGGGTCCGTTTGGTATACATAGAATATTGTTCGGAAATCTCACTTTAAACACCTCACTAAATCCAGCATAGACATCATCCTCGTAAGTAGATCGATCAGTAATATGACGTTGGAATCACTGTCAAATCTTATTTATAAATTCATAACAACGACTATAAATTTAAATATAAATTACACTAAAATAAAGTTAGAGTGTAATTTAACTTACAGAGATTCCCTAGACAAATGTCCAGAAATTGCACGAAATTATGTCAACAAACATTCTATCATTTCTCGGTTTATTTGTCTCAAAGACACATCTATTTCTGAAATTCCAAACTCACCAATACGTATTGACTATGATAACCTCCAAAACTGCTTTACGAGCCACCAACATATGTAACGAATTCAAAAAACCAGATAAATTCATGGATAAAAATAAGATTAGATAAGTCTATATCACACTAAAGACTTATTTTGAGAAGAATTTGGGACACTACTTCACACTCGATGAGCACATGTCAAATATCTGTTGTAGAGTTGATACAGATTGGACATAAGGAACAAGGAATGTTAATACCATGGCTATGCAAGTTTCTTTTGGTAGGGAAATGGTCCAGACAGCTCTCCATGAAAATATATTAACCTAACTAGTTAGGAAATTTTTTATTTAATTCGGTATTTACAAGAAACGATGTCAATATGTGTTCATCAATACAAACTCGAGAATCATTAGCAACATATTCCAGACCATTATTAAAATCACAAATCCAACAACCTTGTCTAGAAGTAAAAACAATTTTGTTTAGAATTAAGAGTTTTTTTTTGTTTTGTTTTTTTTTTTCCAAAATATTTGTTAATTTAAGAGATTCTTTGTTAATTATATTTTATGATAACCTTAAAACCTTTTATTACAAATAAGAAAAAGCACAAATAAAAAACTTAAAAAATGATCGTAGAGTAAACAAAAGAAAAAACAAAACAAAAGAAAACTTAGACAAACTTTTTTAATTTTTATGTCAATAAATAAACTTGACCCAAAAAGTTAATGATGGTTGGCTATTGAGGTAACCGTTCACATTTCAATTCCACCATTGATTTGATTTTTTCTCTGTTTTTTTTTTGTTTTTTTCATATTTTGTTTTTTTTGTTTTTAATTTTTTTTTAATTATTATTATTATTATTATTATTATTATATTATTATTATAAATTTCGCACAAAATTTTAACATTCGGAAGACATTATAAATTCAAACGGCTATATAAAAT